TTTTGGTATCAATTTCTCTCTTGAAGTTTTAATTTCAATTTGTGCAGTTTTATATTTATGGAGTTTATTGTAGTTTTGTGAGGCCTGGTAATATTTTTTATATGATGATGATGGTTTATTATTTAAATTACTGGTGATTGTGTACTCACCATATAAATGCATTTCTGCAGTTTCACTTGCAAATGAAACCTACAATTTTTTAGAATGTGATTGGCTGTTCTGTGGCCACTCCCTATTTAAGATGATCACAAAAACTTTGCTTGATGACAGTCTAGTTATGATCAAGTTTTGCAGTTTAAAAGCTTTTATTTCAAGTATGTGTAATATTTAAGGGTGTGTATGTTCAGTATATTCATATATCATTCATCTGAGTGCTCTGTTCCCTCAGAAAGGAGCCCAGGAAGCTTCCTCCCCATCTGGTCGAAGTGGATGCCATCCAACAGAACAGCAACCTGATCTTCCATAAAGTCCATTTCCCAAATGACACAAATGAAGTAAGACACATCACTGTCCTCTCAACACTGGGAAAAGATGGATCCATCCATTAGCGCTCCGACTGTTTTAGCTCTGGGAAAATTGATTATGACATTGATATTAACTGAATTACTTTCTTTTCATCAGTGGAAGGACATTGGAACCAAACACCGTTTCTCACTAGTTCTGCTCTGCTCCAATTTTTTTTACATATTGTTTCCAGGGATCTTTTTAAGGACATTTTAGGATTCATTGTCTACAAATTTAAGAGATAGTTTAACCACTTTTATACACAGTACTTGGCGAAAGTAAAATATATACCAGTAGGGAGCAGCAGGATAGCTCCAGCTACATAATGAGCATACATGGTACAGCTATGGAAGTGGTATCACTCGTGTCACTCATCTAACCTACAACATGAAAGGAAATTAGTCAATTTCCCCAAATGTCAAACTATTCCTTTAATGTGAATACCATTAGGCATCATATTTTGATTTCCTACTGTCCTTGCTGTTGTCCAGATATTCGAGGTAAAATCTACAACCTTGATCAGTGACCTGTGCAGCAGTGTTGCCGCTCACCTCAACCTGATCTCAGCTGACGGATTTGGCCTCTACCTGAAAACACCGAACAAGGTGCTGTTGGGTGATGTTCTTTTTCTTAAGGTTCCTGCTTTCAAGCCAAGTGTAACATGTTGATGTGACAGAAACGATGAAGATTGGATATACAGATTCCAGTGAGGGATAAGGGGACGTTTTGTGGTCTGGATCGCACTGATGAAATGATTAATTCTTAAGTAAAAAAAAACTGTTAAGACGATTAAATCATGAATTGATGAATAAATAAATTTCAATCTCTTCCTCCTCATTGCATTTTGCTCACACATACTAATTATGATATCTAAGGCAAAATGTTTTCTGTTTGTAGGTCACGTGCTTGGACGAGCGGAAATATTTCTTTGATAGTTTAAGGCAGACGTCAGACTTCTCTAAAAAATTAAAGAGAGTGAAAGAAGGTAATGCATCATCATCACGTTCAGTTTTTACATGTCAGATCATCTTCATATTTAAAGTTTTGTTTTTTCTAAGGTAACCAGGGTAACATTCCCTACCTGGTGATACTTAAGAGGAAGCTCTGGTTCAATGTGAACCCGGGGAAAGACCAGATTGCAGACCTCATCTTCCATTTTCCACAGGTACAGTGTCCAACCTATAATTACACGCAATCGTGAGTGATGGTTTTTCACTTCTTTTCAAGAAGCCGAATCATCATGGTGTATGTCCTCTGTACTGCTTCCATGCAGGAGCTGCCTAAGTACCTGAGGGGATACCACAATTGCACCAAAGAGGACATGATCAACCTGAGTGGGCTGCTGTTCAGAACCAAAGTGGATTCAGACAGGTCACAGTTTGTCATGATCCCCAGGATGCTCAAGGACCTGGTTCCTGAAGACCAGATCAACAAAATGTCTGCTGAAGACTGGAAGAAGGTAAAAGAGAAATATAAAGAAATGTTAATTTTCATAATATATAAAAGCATGTTTGGGAGAGCTTTCACATGTTTTTCATTTTTCCTCCTCTACATGCAGAACATCATCTCCTCCTACAACAAGCAGAGCGGGATAACGGTGCAGGAGGCCAGAATCGCCTTCCTTAGAGTCATTTCCAGTTGGCCAACTTTCGGCTGCACCTTCTTTGAAGTGAAAGTGAGCGATCAGGGTGAAGTGAGGGGACAACTATCTGAGGAAATGTTTTGTCACTATATGTATGATTTCTTTTGCAGCAAACGTGTGAATCTAGCTACCCACATATGGTTTGGATTGCCATCAGCAAACAAGGCGTAAGCATAATAGACCCAAAGAACAAGGTATGTCCAGTAATCCTGATATAACACATATGTACTTATTAATTAATGTCCTTGAACATTTAATAATGTTATATTGTTGTCCAATCTGTCTCATTTGATCCTGTTGTTTTTACTAGTAACACATCACTATATCTTAATGTTGCTTAAACATAATGTCAATGTTTCAGGAGCTACTGGTCATGTACCCGTTCAGCCGCATCACTGAGTACCGCAGCAAAACCAACTTCTTCCAGATAAGCATCAGCACGCTGGTGAAGGAAATCAAGTTTGTCTGTGAAACCTTACAGGTATGAGCCAGGCGTATAAGTTTTAACTGTAGATATTGTGAAAGTATTTCTTGCCAGTACATCTTATTCTATTGATTAGTTTGTCCATAAGCTTTAATGATCCCATTTGGAATTGGTGATTTCGAAATGAAGGACATCCCTTCCTCTGTTTTTCAGGCTAACGCAATGGAGGACCTTCTTAGATCCTACGTCAGCATGTATGAGAGGCAGAGAGAAACCTTCCGACCAAGGAACCACATCTTTTCTTGAAGCTTCAAGACACCAGACTGAGCCATTGTGGTTTATATGCACTCTTTTTTGCTTTCCTTACATTCATGTATCTGTTGGCCTATGCTTTAAATAGTAAAAAAGAAATCAATTCTGCAAAATAATATTGTCTTTTCAATTGTCCATCTATCCATGTATCCATTATATATTCTGTTTATCCTTTGAGAGTTGAGTGGGAGCTTGAGCTGATCCTTTCTGACATTAGGTGATAGGTGGGGTACATTCTGGACAGGCCCCCAACTTACAGTGACAATCAACCAGTATTCTTTATTTGTTTTGATTACTATTCTTTTCTTGTGTCATTGTGAGAACTGTTGTATGAATAAATGATCCATAGAGATTTGTGGAAGTTGTGTGATATTAAACTTTAACATGTCCAACCTTTAGTCTTCCTAACAGAACAATATAAATAATTAACTCTTGTAGTCACAGAAAGTCAAATGCATTATCTTTATCAAAATATTTTCTGAGCTGTACTAGATTAACATCTTGTTTTTGCTTCAATTTATTCAATATCAAATTTTAAATTCAAGGAGGCACAATTTTATTTAAAAAAATATTTTATCAGCATGTATGCCTAAAAATGTAATCTGTGATAAATTCAGACATCATTTGTTAGAAAACTGTTTGTTCGATCAATTCAACAACAATAAAACAAAAATTATTTTGAGATTGTATAATTTTAAGCTATAGATGGAAAATTGTGTACATTTCTTATTGCCTGTATTTTCTACAATACTGAGATAAGACAAATTGCTATCCATGGCTAATGTAAATTGATCAATCAAATGTTATTTGTATAGCCCATATTCACAAATCAGAATATGTCTCATGGGGTTTGACAAGTTGTGAAGTCCTATGCCTATTAAGGCCCTAGAGGAATTTTTTGAAACAACATATGTTCATACACATTTCAGAAAACAACATAACTGTGCTATATGTGGTTTGGTTTTGTATATACATTATTTTATCTATTAAAATACAATAATTCATTATGACCAAAAATACGTTTTGATGTTTGGATTGATATGTTGTTGGGCAGTGGGTGTTTTGCCATTGGATTAATATAAGTTTTCATACAGCCGCAGTGTGAGTTGAGTCAAACTGAATGTCAGGGCGGAGTTGTTTCCTCCTCAATAAACATTCAGAAAAAAGGCAGCAGCCAAAAGCAAACAAAGAAAAAACAAGTTAAGTGGAGCATAAGTCATTCTCACAACAGCCATTTGACGTGTTATGCAGGAACCACAGAGGTTTTATTAATAACATGAGCGATGGCTGCATTCCATTTAGCTCTGGTGCTTCTGGATTCCAGGGCTGGGGTTAAGTATGTGCTGACACGGCTCACTCATGGACAGCTGAGTGGAATGAAGTTGTAATAAATGTGATTAGTTACAGATCAAACTGTCTGCTCTAAAGATAGGGGATATGAATATAAAAATATGGTTTATAATGATACTACACTCAAACTGTATCTGCAAATACTCCATGTATGGCATTTTGCATATGGCACATGTGTATATTATTATTCCAAAGGCCTGTCAACACTTTACATTTTCACTATGTCAAAATGTACATTTACAAAATGTAACTGAATCAATTATTATTATCATAACCATATATCATTATCAAAGAAAACACTGTCTGTTTTGGTATTAAATCTGAAGTGTTCAATGTAAGAGTGACTTAGTGACATGAATTTATTATTTGTCCTTCCAAAAACCTGTGATCACATTGTGGTGAACCATCATACCTTGTACAGTTTATGATGGGACCTCTTTACTCTCAGTTTATTTTCAAACTGTTATTGGTATAATTCAAAGGGCCCATACTGCTGTAGGCCACAGTTGTGTATCTTACTCACTAGTGAAGGTAGTTTTCAAAATGTCAGCCCACGGTTCCAGTTTTCCGAGAGACATTTGACACTCTGGGAATGTCCGGACTGCTGCATGAATATCAGTCACCAGTCACATGTAAGCTCACAACACATTACCAATTCATACCCGATATGACAGTAACAGTAGTAGTGTTATACAACCATCCTCATTGCCTGTCAAGATTATTGCACTGTTACCATGGAAACCGTGTGACCAAAAAAATCAGGTTACCATGGGCAGGTGCATATGAGGTGCAGTGTGACCGTTCGTGCCTCAGTCTATTTCCTGATGCAAGCTGGCTGCAAGTGGAGCAGGGCTTTGACAGACAAAAGACGCTTTTACACAACTGCTTTCATTTTTTTTAATCCTGGCAAATTAATTTATAGTAGAAATAACTATTAAATCAATATAAGGGGGGAATCGTAGGGAAAGTTTTGTTAAAATGTACTACATTTAAAGTAAATTAGAAAGGATCTAAGAATAGAGGCCAAGTATTCAGCTCTCAATATATATAGATGTGTGTGTGTGGTGTGTGTGTTGCCCTACAAGAAGGCATTTTGATGCACTGCACCAAATTTGGAACAAAAGACCCTATAGCCCAGACCACATCACTATCCTCCCACCTGCACTCCCCTCCCTGCAACTTGTATTCCAAGACTGAAAAACAGCTTATCAGGAACCTACCTAAAACACACACACACATACACGCACATCTCTCCTTCAATCTCATTCCTTGTCTGTCTGTCTGTCTGTCTGTCTCTCTCTCTC